AGAAACTTCGTGAATTTTCTTAGTAAATGCTATTCCGCGGTGTTCTGTGATGATATCCGTTAGGACTCTTTTGAGGAACCTAATTTTAGTACTGGTAATTTTTGATTTATCTGAGTAGTGAATTTTAATTTTAAAATTGGATTTTCTCAATTTCTTTTTTTTATGAGTAGCTGTAGAAAAACAATTATATCTCAATAAAAAATCATTATTTTAGCTTCAAATTTTCAGGATATGTTTATTAATAAAGTTTTTAGTGCCTGAACCTAAAAAAATAACAATACTAATTAAACTTAATCTACAATTACCATCACAACTGAGTGTTTTATTGTTGAAAATAGTTTTTTAAACTATCAAGTCTGCCATTTTAGATCATTTAAATTTTTTAAAAATATTATTTGTTTAGGCACAAGTTAGACTAGTATACTATCATTATGCTTAATTTCTGTCTTTAAATTTGTAATCTTAAGATACAGTTAACTGTCAATATCTCGAACTCTCAGAGGACCGGTTAAAAAGTTCGAGATACCAAGATTTCGAGCAGCCGTGGCGCAGCGGTTAGAGTTCTGGCTCAGAACCCAAAGGTCCGAGGTTCGACGCCATCTCTAGCCCAACAAGCGACATTGGTACAGAAGGAGGCGTGAACTTCCTGTTAAATGCTCTCCCGCGGTGCTCTATGATAAGACCGTAAGGACTTCTGGGAGCAACTAAATACATACAAAAAAAAAAAAAAAAAAAAAAGATTTCGAGATATTGAGAGGAATTTGGCTCAAACGAATGCGCAAGAGACCGGAAATAAAGTTCGAGATATACAAACATTCGTGCTATCGAGTAGTCGAAATATCAATAGTCAACTGTGTTTAAGGTCTTGAGACATTAGCTTTTTTTAAATTTTTATCTAATATGCTAGTAATTTGTCAAAGGTATTTATTATGAGTAAAATATAAGAAAATAAAAATAATGCTTGGATACCACCTTAATGGTGCTGGAGCATTCAACACTTGTGGCAGCAGTGCTGCTACAAGTGTTACAGCAGCGCCTAAGCTCAGGTTTGCGCGTGCTTAAAATTTTAAAAATAAAATTTTATATCATCAAAAAAAAAAAAAAAATCTTTTAGTGCGCTTTATCTCTTTTTTGTTTTCCAGTTGTTTATAAAAAATTTTTTTAAAACAAACTTAAGTTTAAAACATTATTGATAAAAATGTTGATAAATCAATAAATTAATAGTAATTTAATCGGATATCTAACATAGTTTAACACGTGAAAAAAACTGAATAAGCTTAATTACATTAAAACCAAGCATTTATTAAATATATCGCTTTTATAATATATATATATATTTTGGCACAATTAAAACATATAGCACAGTTTCGATTTATTGTATGCAGTTTCGATTTATTGTATGTAGTTTCGATATTTTGACGATATTTTGATATACTGACGAAATATTGATATATACAATATTTTGCTGAATGCATTTTCAATATAATGGCTTAACATAATTATGTTGACATTATTTTACTTGATATAATATGGAAAGCTGATTTTGTCGGGTTCATTTATCTCAAAGTATTTGATAATCTCTGTCATAAACTATTTCCTGAAATATTCAGGTAGTAATAGCTATTGGCACCTTATACATAAAATTTATCCTGCCGACGTTTGTATTGAAGAGATAATTAGATACACAGACAGGCATATATATATATATATATATATATATATATATATATATATATATATATATATATATATATATATATATATATATATATATATATATATATATATATATATATATATATATATATATATATATATATATATACTATATATATATATATATATATATATATATATATATATATATATATATATACATATATATATATATATATATATATATATATATATATATATATATATATATATATATATATATATATATATATATATATATATATATATATATATATATATATATATATATATATATATATATATGTATGTATGTATGTACAGGCCCACTGCGAGACATCCCATCTAGCGTCGGATGACGTCACATTCCGAAGGTTGGTGGAAAAAATTATTTTGGCGTCTTTATAAAATAAATTTTAAATTTGGAAATGTATTTTAATTCCAATTTTTAAAATAAGGTTAAAAGTAATTTATCTTGTAAATACTAATTTTCAAAAAAATACTTCTAAACAATATCAATAATGAGTTGACGGGTTTCGCACATGTATGATCAGGGCCTCCGAAAGCTTACGTGACGCCCTGGGAATAGCAGCAATTAGGCGCATATAATATAAGCATGTACTTTTTAAAACTTTAAAGCATGTAAAAGTTAATGACTGCGTTTTTATTTCTAATATTGTTAACTAACATTAATATTTTCAAAAAACTGGATGTTATCTGGATTAAATTTTACTTTTGCAACACATTCACTGATTAGAATTAATTAACAAGTTCTTTGAAATCAGTAATGAAAACACTCTTTTTCTTGCAATTTTACTAGCAAAAATTGTTATTATTAAAATGTCATTTTATGACAGAAATGTATATAATTCATTTTCAACTCTTAAATCTCTTAATCTTTTTGTCTTATCTTTTAGAAAGGTGCCATAAATGAGAGAACGTTAAACCTTTGTTAATGATGCTGTTGAAGATTTTCCAAAAGTCTTAATCTTAAATCTCTAGTTTTTTTTTTTTTAGTTTATTTAGGTGCTCCCAGAGTCCTTTATGGTCTTATCACGGAGCTCCGCGAGAGAGCATTTAACTAGAAGTTCACGCCTCCTTCCTTACCAATGTCGCTTATGGGCTACAGCCGGGGTCGTTTTATAGCGGTCCTAGTTGTCTAAAATAGGAAAAAATTACTTCGGCTTGACCCGAGAATGCCACCTGTCCTGGGTGAATCTACATGGTCCACAGATTCAAAATATATAAATATTGAAATCTAGTTACAACGTCCGAGCGAAAAAAATCACTTTGAATTTTTTACGCTTTTTGCACATGCTCATGAGATGACAGCATTCACAAAATTGTGCATTTTTACAGCATACAATAAATAAATTAACAATTTTAAAAAATCTATGTATTATTTTAATTTTGTTTGACACAGATAGACCTCAAAAGAATACTTTTTATGTTTTAGAAATATTTCAACCCAAACATAGAATTATTTAATTATCCACATCATTTCTTGTTATCTCTTTATTCATAATTTATGGGCAAAAACAACAACAAAATGAAAAACTTATCCTTATGCCAAGTTCTTAATTCTAATTAGCACAAACTGGATGATTTTATAGCCTCTTGAATCGATTCCAGTGAAGAGAGAAATCATAATGAAGTGACTCCACATCTGTTCACTGAATGCACCCAAAGGTGCTTTGAGCCGCTCAATAAAATTTTGGATGTGATAAAATAATCAGTGTATACTTGGAGTGACGCTTGTTTGAGGTAATGCCAGGAATGCCTCTTGGAAACTGTTGATTTTTTCTTTGTATTGGACATCCAGATTCATGCCAAAGCATGCTTGGACAACAGCATTGAATCTCCGAAGCACAGCGATGAAGGGAAAAACAAGACCATTTTTCAACATCTGGCCACACATCTTTGATTTTTTTGAAGACCAGGTTTACCACTCCCAACAAAAGGTGCAATTCCATTGGTGAAATAATGTCGATGATGAGGATGTCATTTTTTCCGCTGAAGACCGGCTCATGAATGACATTGCCAAACAGTTTCGCTTTTGTGGTGACCTTTCCCGACTTTTTCAAATTTTTGAAATTCTCCTTCAATGAGTCCATAGTCCTCAGTCTCCCTGAGCAATTCAGATTGGTGGATTTTGCATCACACCATGTACATGGGTGGGTACTTGCATGCGACTGGAGACCAATCAAAATGTTGGCTAGCTTCATATCTTATGAAATGTGATATGATGGAATGTCAGCTCGAATGAGAGACCAAATGACCCTCACATTTTCATAGGTTTCAGGCATACCTTCTGCAATTGTAACCAGAATTTGCCTTTTGGAACTGTTGTTCTTAGCTTGTTGTTGCGTGAGGAGTTTTTTCTGAGTTGGGGAGCTTGCATTTTTGCCTTGGGTTTTGCTCACAATATTGAGGGAGAATTTCAGAAATCCTCCCCCACCATCAATGTCAAGTTTGACAAGGTTGTCATCTATTTCTCGATGTTTAAGTACTTCATTCAAAAGATCGGCGAGGTTTTTGCAGTGCACGACAGTCCTTGATATGCCAGTCAACCCTTGTCTTGGTTCTTTAGCATCTACAAGAACCAAGTGAGTGAAAAATTCAGATAGCATCTGCCCAGCTTCTTGGAACTTTGCACGGAAATTCGGCTCAACTATATTCTGAGCAGATGTCTGGTTCAACGTCATTTCTAGTTTCTTTACTCCATGATTCTACAAGCCAGTATTGAGTTAAACTTTTACAAGATCATTTGTTGTAAGACTTGTCTTACCGGACGAAGTAACTGAATTCACTTGACTTGGGCCTGTTAACAAAGAATAAATGTTTAATTGGTTGAAAAGAAAGCGATGATAATTTAAATATTTCACTTTAGGTTTTATTGTCTAGGGTGATAGGGTAAGGGCGACCCCCACCTGGTTGAGCTAGTCTAATGGTTCCTTTTGGAGAGGCATCTTTGGAAGCAATTACATTCGAAGCTATCTGTTCAGAAGCGCTGAGATCAGCACTGGCCAACTTTTTCAAGTTTTCGCGGAATGTGAACCTATTGCAGTTGTGTGGAAGTCTTTTTCCAATAGGACTAAGACATGTTGTACAACGCAGAAGAACTTTTGCTTCCGCTTCATGGTTGATCATAGGACTTTTTTGATTGTGCCTCAAACCTCCTATGTGACAAATTAGGCATGAGCATTCTTGACCAGCTGTTCTGGTTTCTGGTTTCATGTAGATTTTCAAGAAGTCAAACAGGTCAGGAAGACTGACATCTTTTCCTTCATCTTTTCGTGTTAAGAATGAACGGCAAGCTTCACACAATCTTTGGGGAACACGTGGGTCTTGGTAGTTTATCTGATGTTGGTAAATCTGACGAATTCTTTCTTCTTGAAAGGTTGTAATTTGACGTGTTGCTTTTTGAAAGCACACAAGCAAACATTTTTTCGATTGGCATCATGATCTTTAACTTGGTTAGGCATAGTTAACGTTCACTGAAATATCAGAAAGATATTATTTCAAATAGGAGTATTGTTTACTGAAAAGTAGCAAATACACAATAAAATAAAGTTTGTTTTACATAAAAGTGCAGAGAATGTGGAAAAAGCTTTAAAACAATATCAAATATTAATTACACAGATTTCTAATGACTATTTTTGGTATTTAATTTGAGTATCATTGATTTCAGATCATTAAATGATTACCTTGAAGTGATATATTATTCAGTTTATTGTTCATATGTTCAAAATTTGTGCAAATTTTTATCAATTCAGAATGCAAGGAAAAACAACTCAAATAAATCTTACCTTTGATCTTTTGAGGCAATAATACGTTGTCTTCTACTTATAAGTCAAAGAATGATTTTTTCAACTTTCAAAGTCCTAGAATAATTTTTTCCGTTTTTTTAGTAAAACAAAACAAAAACAAACGTTTGTGGATGTCAAAGTAGGGTTCTTCAGTTTTAAGGACCATTAAGATGGTAGGCACGATCATTATAACAAGATGATGCTAAACATAACAAAAAGAATAAATATTGCTGGTTCTATGTTAATATATTTTTATAAACTTATAATTTACAAAATATAGTTTGAAAAAGTAAATATCTATCATCAGTACCCGTTGTTTTCTGTTCAACTAATTTTGTATGCTGTAAAAATGCACAATTTTGTAAATGCTGTCATCTCATGAGCATGTGAAAAAGGGTAAAAAACTCAAAGTGTTTTTTTTTGCTCGGACGTTGTAACTAGATTTCAATATTTATATATTTTGAATCTCTGGACCATGTAGATTCACCCAGGACAGGTGGCATTCTCGGGTCAAGCCAAAATAATTATTTCCTATTTTGGACAATTGTGCGGTTCTATAATCATTTTTTCAAACCAATTTTTATTTACTTAAAGGTCGTTCACCTTCTGCAGCAGATATTGGAATTGTATTAAAAAGTTCGAATTAGAATGTATATAGATTGGAGAACAGGCTATGGACCCTTTGAGTATCTTTGGTTGAGAAATCTCAAAGTGTTTCCAGAAGTAAAAAATGAAGACTACTTCAAACTATGAAAATATCTTTTATAAAGTTGTCTTCTACTTCATGCATTAATTTTCACTCATTCTTGATTTTTAACAAAATGAATGAAAATCTTAATGAAACAGTTTTTATAATCTTAATTTTAAATTAAATTTATCGAACGATAAAAGCATTATTTAAAAGATATTCTCTTCAAGCTTATGTTTGTAGAACACATTGAAAAAACCGCATGCCCAGGTTCATTACGATTTCATTTGCCTTTCAAAAATTTATATTTCATCGCTAAGACAAGCGATAAAAAAAAAACATTTTGTCGAATTATCATGAGTCAACATTTTGGTTGAAGCTAAAGTGACGGCCTAAATTAGCCCTGGGGTTTGAATCACGGATCCTTTGTGTCTGAGGCAAGTGTACATCCACTGCGCCACGGGTGCTGAGATAGTTTTATAACTGCAATTTGACCTGAACGTCTGGTGCCTGAAAGCATGTAAATCAAGATCTATTGTCTAGCAGGATTCTAGCTGAAAACATAAAGATCTGAGACTTTTATTTATTTTTTAAAATAATCAATGAAACTTATACATGAAAAACATAGTTTTGATGAAGGAAAGCAACAACAGGCATTCATAGGCTGCTAATTGATATTGCTGCAGCCAAAGTAGCATCATTAAAATACTTTCAAAAAAAATCACTTTACATACATTAATTACATTCTGCGCTATTTTATCCGAACGGTTTGCAGCACGGTTTTTGAAAAAAATGCTTACTTTCTGGTAACTTTTGATTAGTTGAGGATTTAAACAGGTCATTTATTAAATTATAACCTGAGTTTGACGAGAAAGCGTAAACGGATATTAATAATGAAGCTAAGCAATGGATAATAGATCCTAAAGAAGTTTAAGTTTTATTTGATATAGTCAACTTATATCCATCCATACCCATTGACGAAGCAATTCCGATTATTATAGATATATTGAACGCTGGCATTGATGACTTAAAAACTCGAACTAAACTTACTCTTGCAGACATAGATCAATTAATTGAACTTTCATTAAGTATATGCTATTTTTTATATGAAAACAATATCCGAATAATAACTAATTCAGATGCTAAAGGTTTATCTTTAATGGTTATTATGGCGGAAGTGTTTTTACAAAATATAGAAAGAAAAGCCCTTAACATAGCAATTATTCATTCATCCGAACCAAAAACTTACAAGAGATATGTAGATGATTGTCATGCTCGCTTTGCTTCAATAAAACAACAACAAATGTTCCTGAACATCCTTAATCAACAACATCCTGCCATACAATACACAGTGGAACTTGAAAACGACCTCAAACAACTCAATTTAGAAATTAACATTACAAACACAGGCTCTGGAACTTATGAATTTCAAATACATAGAAAAGAAGCTAATTTTACTAATAAGTAAACAGTTTTTTGCAAGTTTCATTAAAGACTATAATAAAAAAAACACATCTTACCTAAAATAAAAAACATGTAAACTTAGTAATTAGGCAAATAAATTTTTTATACTAACTTAATGACAATTTTCATAAAGATTTCAAACAGTTGAGGGGTATTTTATTTGCTGCGTAAGGAAATCGGTTTTTATTAATTTATATTTTAATTTTCAAAATATTTTAGCCATAGCTCAAAATAATTAGAAATCATACCTTTAATACCTTCCATGCTAACTTATAATACCTTTCATGCTAACTTATAATACCTTCCAGTCTAACTTATAATACCTTCCATGCTAACTTATATATAATACCTTCCATGCTAACTTTAATTAAATAGTTTTATTGTTAAAAACTTAAGTTACCCGGAAATACTTGGAGTACAACTGTGATAATTAGAAATAACTTTTTCTTGTGGAATTTAAAAATATTTCTTCATTTTTATCTATAATTTTACGATTCTATCAAAAAATAAATATCTTAACTTTTGTAGTTTTTTTTTGTTACATTTTTAAGACATTTTTTTTATATTTTTATTTAAGAAATTTGCTATATGAATTACAGTGTTTATAGTACCACGGTGGGATTATGATTGAGTTTTTAACGACTTTTAAATTAATTGGTAAATCAATAAAATATATTAAAGCATAATTTACCGGTAAATATTAGTAAAAGACTAAATTCTTATTGGAGGACTTAATTCTTGTTGGAAGGATAGTCTCCAGTGCATTAAAAAAAAGTTCATGATTGGTAGTTTTTTTTCCAGTAGCACAGATCAGCATTTATTTTATTCAAATGGTTTTAAATTGTACCGTTATTTTTTGGCCAAATGCTGAGTTGCTTCTTTGAGTTTATCTTTAAGTAAAAATTGATTTTTGTCAAGATTTTCTGAGCCGCGCACTTCTTCAACAAATACTAAGTCATCTGGATTCGTTAGGAAAACCCTAAACAGAAAATATTTGGCTGTCTTTTGAAGTACAGGCTTCGAAGGCATTTTGAAAAGTTTATCTTCTCCTATGTCAGATAAACATTCTAGATTAGAAAGATCTCTGTAGAAGGTTACAAAATTGCTCTCCCTTTCTTTAAAAAATCAAAATTTGCTCTCTTTATTGCAATGCAAAGGGTAGAATCTGGTTGTTTTAGTCTGTTCACAAGAAAGGTTCTCTCAGCTGTAAGAAAAATTGCATCCTGTCGGCAAAAGTCGGCAAAAGTTGGCAAAAGTTGCATCCTGTAGGCAAAATCTTCCGCTGCCAAAAGACTGGTTTAAGTGCAGCAGCATATAATGTTATATAAAAAGTTTTCTCATCATCACTTCAATTAAAATGCAGAGAAACATCTTAAATACTTTTCTGTTTAATTTTTAACATTAAAAAATTGTTAAGCATTTACAGTAGACTATTCCATCTTGTTCTGCAGTCAAGAATAAGTGAAACTTCTTTATAGTGCAATTTCTTAATTTCTTCTCGGGAGGACGTCATTTTGGACTAGACCTTTTTGAAATAACTTGACAATTTTGTTGAATTTTGTGATGAATGTAAAAGTTTTCATTCATGGCAACATCAAGAAAATTGGCTTCAGTATCTGATTCAGATTCGTCTCTGCTGACTTTATTTTTGTCGCTTGTTATTTGAAAGAAGCTGTTATCAATTTTTTGGGTTGGCTTCTCGTAAAACACTCCATGAGCTGCAAAATGCATTCCATGGGTGTAATATGATGCTCAGTTGGAATCAGTTTTCTGAACTTAACCATCATGGGAGCTTCATCCGAGACTCAGCAAACAATGCTGTCGTCAAAGTTCAATCCAATCTTTTTCTATGACAACTAGCGACGGTTGCTTTATCTTCACATTTTTGAGTTTTGCGATAAAACAATTAAAACAATTAAAACTTTAGTTGACGGCATATAAAAATTTTTTTTTATTGCTTATGTTTTCTCTGGAACGTTTTTACTTATAACTTCGGTTTTAATACAGTAGAAAAACATTATTCTTAGATACATTGCAATATCAATAACTAAATTTGTTCAAAAATCTGAGATAGATCGACATAATTCTAACGTCGCAAACTGTTGCAGCATTTTCAGTCGGCAGAGATCCAGAAATTCGATTCAAGGCCAGATTCCAGTAAGTATGTTTTTGATGAATAATAATGTTTATGTGGGGTGAAATTGAATATGGGGTGAGATGAGACATCTCAGCAGAAAATTTAACTAAGAATATTTTTTTTATATCTGTGATATAAAAAAGTTTGCATTAATTACTTTATTTTATTTTGTTTTTTGGCTTTCATAAGTATTTTGTTTTTCAAATTATTTGTAAATATGTAAAAATCTAACAAATTTCCTGGATTTTGAAGATATTAATAACATTAAATTTATGTGTTGTTTACATGTATTTTTATGTTTTATAATTTTTAGTTAATTATTAATGTCTAATATAATTACTGAAGAAATATGATTAGCATGTGGTAAAGAGAACTTTATAAAATAAAAGTTTTCTTACACCTGCTAGTGAAATTAGTAGGTGTAAGAAAACCACCCCAATGCATTTCACCCCAATGCTCCCGACTGGGAGCATTGAGGTAAAATGGGACACTGTTCAGTTTCATCTTTTTTTAAATTTACTATACTTTTACTTTCATAATTAATTTTTTGTAAAAAAGCATACAAACAAAAAAATTCTGTTTATATTTATGATAAGATTTAATTGTTTTTTTATGTTACTGTGCTTTTTTTTTCATAGAAAAAATTAATTATATAAAATTTTTATGTCTTAAAATTTTAGCATTGTTATTAAAGACAGTAAGTTCTTTTACAGTATTGTTTTATTGACAAATATTTCTTTATATTTCCGTATAATAAAAAGTTTGCAAATTAGGGTGGTTTACAATTATAAGGAGGTTTTCCCTAATATATTTGCAAGCACAGTAAAACAAAATTGCATATGACTAAAACAAAAGGGAGAACTTTACAAAGAGAAAGGTTTACAGTTATATTTATATTTTCATTTTTGAACTTTGTATTAAATGTATTTAAGTACGTTTAAACAGCCATTTTTCTTATTTTTAATCGAGACCTACAATTTACCGTCGTCTAGACAATGAATATTAAATCTTGATTGTTACTATAGCATATTGCATTGTTAAAAAAAAATATTTGATGAAATTTTTCGACATTGTTTTTTTTTTTTTAATATTTGTTGTATTTAATTTTCCAAGTATGTTTTATTTCTCTTCTTACATTTTCAACAGTTCTTGTTGCGGTTATGTTTTACCTTTTCTGTTTCCTTTTCTCCTTTTCCACAACTCTGTTGTAATTATGTTTCCTACGAGCATTTGTTTTTCAAATTATTGTTCTAAATGTTTTTTGTACGTCTTTTAAACGTTCTTTACGTAAGAATGTTTAGAAGACGTTTAAAAGACATTCAAAATACATTTAGAACGTAACATTTAAAAGCAAATGCCCGCTTGGTTAGTAAAAGTTGTTTCAAGTTTTTCTTTTTTTATCATTTTTGGAAAGGTCTTTAATGTTTAATAAAAAACTGGGCATGCACAGAATTGACAAATATCTTTTAGCACATTTTAAATTCAGTTTAATTTTTTTTTTTTTAAATTGAACCTTTTTTAAATAAAATGTCATTATAAGCTTCATTGAGGTATTTTATTTTCATTAAAATAAATCAAATTTTAAGCTTAATCTGGATTTTAGTTAATGCCTTATAAAAAAGCATAACTTTTTGATAATGGAGTAAATGATATGTGTAAAATTTTTTCAGATGCCAAGAAAGAACAAACGATTGTCAAATTGGTTAAACCCTGATGCTCATAAAATAAAAACCGCTGTGATGGTTGTCGATTGTTAGAGCTTATCACTACGAGATGCTGCACAAGAAAATTTTAAAATCAAGTTTTATAAAATTTTAAAATTAAGTGCACACCCATCATTTGAGTATTTGGCACTCCCAAATACTCCAATGATGATATATGATGTTTCTGAAAATTTAGGATTAACTTACTGAAGGGTTTTCACTTCTCAAAACAATAAAATAGTTTTAAAGAAGCTGACATTTACACATAAAATTCATATGTTCTAATGAAACTGGTTTGCCATTTCCAGCAAATGCCTCTATATTTTCAGCCAGTTATTCCAGCAGTATTTCTCACCGATCCAAAAAACTTTTTCTGTCAGTCTAACTAATGTATCCGATCAGACAAACCAAGTAATAAAGTCTTACAATTTAAGTAATATATTTTATTAACACACACAAATAATCCTCACATCACCATTAACTGTATCTAACGGTATTAATGAAAAGAAACAGGAAACCAATACTTCTGCCTACCACTAGACAGCAGAAAAATTAAGCTCATTTCAAAAACAGGTGAGAGGGTGTCATCGAGAAAAAGTGTAAAAAGAAAATGTTATAGGTCTCTGATATTGACTGCCACACCAACAAGAAATGAACTAGTTGAAAGTTTATCAGTATGTAAAAGAAAAAAAATAGATAAAGATTAGAAAAAGCAATAAAGTTGCCTCTGAGACATCAACTCAATTTAAACATCAAGCAACCTTTTAGAATGACACCTTATTTTGTTTTAAAATAAATATATTTTCTGTATTGACTTGTTATATAATAATACTCAAAATTATTTCTTTCTAACTTATCCCATTTCACCCCGATACGTGGTGACTTGAGAAATTATAAACAAACATCAAATTGACAGACATGAATCTGCTATACAACAAGCAGTTCTCTCCGTAAAAAATGATGATAAAGTATATAATAAAGTTTAAAATATTATCAATATTATTACTCTTTGACAATTTATATGTATTAAAGCAAAACACAAAAATATTAAATGTGTAAAATAGATTATATGTTTTGTTATCAAGTTTGAAATTAGTACTTTTGTATTTCAGTTCTAGCTGCTTTTAATACAGTATTGAGAGGAAGAACCACCAGAGAAAGAAA